TTCTGAATCAAATATGCACTTTTATTCATTTACAATAAACTCATAAAGTACATCATTCTGATTGAAGCTAAGGGCATACAAAATTGTCTAACAGAACAACCTCCCCGGGTCATCCACCCTGGTCACTCTGATCTCTGTTTTGCAGTTTGTTCCAACTCATCACTCAAGTACGTCCAGGAAACCCTCAGCTAGAAGCTTCCAAATCGCGCATCATCAGATACTACTTTAGGCAGTGTTTGAGAGAATGGTGAAACCACAATATTTGGGTTTTAAACCACACCACACATCATTTAGGTATTTGGTTATGGTGTGGCATGACCCAAAACCCAATATATCGTGGTGTAGTTTACACCACACCCTAAATATCGACCATAGTATTTTAGTTATCTATCCTGTATGYGATTAATAATAGTTATCTTACCATTACAATTGTTTTTACATTGGATATTAAAACTAGAAATTTTACTTTTTTATGTTTTTACTAATATTAATATTTTTAGATTAATTTTTTTAATAATTATATGCATGTGTTTTATATTACTTTTAATTTTTCAATTCAGCTGGTAACTTTTTTATTAATTCGTATTAGTCATGGTTAAAAATTGATCACATGTTAAATTAACTCATATTATTAATTTGTACTCTACTTAATAAAGCAAAAAACAAAAAAAAAAGAAACATTACCCTTTATGAACAACATAGATTATCTCACATTGTGCATCTGAAATACAAGGAATCAAAACACTAGGTGTGACTTAAACCACAACACACCACACCACACCCTGCAGAATGCCTATGTAGTGTGGTTTGGTTCAAACTACCCATTTTTTACCACAATATAGCATGGTCTTTTCTCAACCACACCACACCTATGGTTTGATTTAAAACACATCACCCAATTTCTCAACCATACTACAGAACACTCCCTTAATTTATTTGTAATTTATCGCATTTCCAAAAGGTTTGTCTTACCAATCAATTGGTCCTAAGGCATCTCTTACGTGGGTCCAAACCCATGGATAAGCATGATGTCTTTATTGTGTCAATAGGTAGGATGCAACTTGGATATGCTTAGATTGAGCATTTGTTAAGTTTTTAAAAGGCAAAATTCCCGATTAATACCCTACAATTTAGGCCTAGTGCCACGTTGATCCCCCAAACTTTAAAATGCGACAATTTAGTACCCAAACTTTCAAAATGTATCAATCTAATACTTATATTTAACCAGCCATTAAGTGGCATGTAAAAAGAGCAAATGCCCTTCGGGTGTCTCTGATCAAATCAGAACCAACTATCAAATTTTTCTCCCTGGCCATGTCATGTGTCCTACACATAGAAGAGTAGGTCCCATCATCTTTTGCTTATACTTTTGAGCAAGGTTCAAAGTATCAATACAATATGCCCCGTATCGAGTGTATCGTATCATATCTTAGGGGTTCGATACACCTGTTTACAGGTGTTTCGGGACCCCACTTTTTTAATAAAAAAATATGCTTGAATATCTTCCTAGAAACCAAATTTTGAAAAAAAAAAACTAAAAAAAAAGTATCTCCACTTGTATCTAAGTACTGATGCACCTCTGCCGATACACAGAGGCGTATCAATACTTTGAACCTTGCTTTCGAGTTTTGTCTCGACTGATACAATATGGGAAGCCGGGTTGCCCRCTTCTTAGGAGGTATCTGAAGAAGCTGCCAGACTTGGAGTTAATGTTCAATTGTATGGATTGGTCGTTCATCAAATCAAACTACTATTGGGGACCAAATGCAATGGCCCCAC